CATCTATGTAGCGAAAATATTGCACTATATACTGTTGATATTGGGATAAAATATATTTTTCCTCAAATACAAACATAAAAACATTAGCATACATAGGGGCCATAGCCGCCTCCATGGAAGTGCCCGCTACTTGTAGACACCACTTATCTTGAAATCTGAAATAATTGTTCTGAAGAGTCATCATAAGTAGCTCAAGAACATATTCAATGGCAGGACCTTGGTAGTGTTCAGTCTGTGTAAGTACTGTTCTCATAGCTTCAACCCCCTCCTCATGAGGGATGATAGTATATAAACTTGACACGTCCATAGTAATCAGTAGATATTTCTGACCATCAATGCGTAATGTTTTCAATTTGTTGAGCAGCATCTGTGTATCCTTAATACAAGTGTGTAATTTCTCCACTGGCCCCTGAAAGATGGAGTCCAACAACTTTGAAATTGGTTCAAGACACCATCCACAGCAGACACTATCGGGCGCCCAGGAGGCTTCTCCGCATTTTTGTGTATTTTAGGGATGCTGTAAATGATGGGTGTACGTGGATGAATTTTATATAGATAATGATATAGTTGAACGTCAATGTAGCCAGCTGTAAGTGCCATAGATAAAACATCAGCTATTTTTGACTGAATCGATGTTGAAGGATCTCCTGGTAACTCATGGTATGTATTTGTGTCTGAAAGTTGTACCAACAATTCTTCTGCGTAATATTGATAATCTAACATTACGATTCCTCCACCTTTGTCTGCTGCTCTAATCACGATAGCAGGATCATCTGCCAACTGCTTAATTATCATCCTTTGATGTTTAGTTATGTTTTGTGGTTTATTCTTTTGTCGTGAAAAGATATTTTGTACCATTTTATTGGAGGTAGTTAAATAGGTTTTTATGGATGCTTTATTTGACTGTGGATCAAATGTGTATTTACATCTAAATTGATCCATTGTTCTAGTGTCTGGCAGTGTTAGATTTGAACAGTCAAAGTATTCTTTCAAACGCATACTGAGACCAAACTTTAAAAGTTCCACATTCCACATAAACTCATTTGGAAAAGACGTTGGTACAAAAGATAAGCCACGACTTAAAATATCAGTTTCTTCAGGAGTTAATTTCCTATGTGACAAATTAAATATAGGCACTACTATCTGTGAGGTGGTTTGCCCCGGGGACTAGTTTTTGCCCTTGCGCCCACGTCTCGTTCTACTCCTCCTTGGTCTATTCCACGGCTTCTGGTAATCGTGCCTGTGTTCTCTAAAAAAAACGGAGGGTCATGATGTGTATCGCTTTCAGAAGCTGATTCACTCGAGGTGACATCAATAGTGGTAACTTTAGGAAGTTGTATCCTTTTACGAAATCTCCTGGGTTTATGCTGATTGTCTCCAGAAAGCCATTTATATACTCTATGCTGTTGGTAGTCTAATTGGACTTTTTCAAATTTGTCGCGCTTGAACTTAATCAATTCATTCTTGTATTTGACAAGTTCTTCCTTTAACTTTAATTTAAGCTGGACTCCCTCCGGTGTTGTAAGGAGCACTGCATGTCCAGCTTCAAGATTCAAAATACTCTGATTTACATCAACCATATCTGTCTTGACATCCTGAATAATAATTAACATTAAATCCAAGGAGGCTTTATTTAGTACATGGGTCCAGTCCTTACAGACTTTTGGTTTAGTGCGCCCAATAGTAGGGATATTTAAAATCCTAAATCCCCTTGGAATTATTTCAGCTTTATAATAATCAGACAGAAATAATCTGTGTAAATCCAGATCAATGTATTTCTTATGCAACCGGAGCAGCTTAAAATAAATATCCTTGCCTGTCCACTGTTGTGGTAATTGCAAACTGGACTGTTCCCACAAGATTTGCTGAGCTTCATCATCAGTGAAATGTAGGGTATCAGCTTGTTCTGAATACCCTCCAGCTTGTGAAAAAAAAAGTGGCCATTAAAATCAAGCTAAATCCTCATATAAAATATAAGACAACGTGCTAAAGGGGCACATCCACTAAATGTTTAACAGGCCTGGTGCACAGGAGGAAGACTTGTCATAATCTCCCAAAATACACAAAAAACAAAATTGATCCTTGCACTCACGTATTCCTTAAGTATTGCCTGGTGCATAAGCCAGCAGACAAGCATGCTATAGAATCCACAAAGATGATGGCTACACTTCTCGGACTTCTTAAAATTCAAAATACTTTATTGTAAATCCATTAAAATGAACAACGTTTCAGCCCCTATCTGGGCTTTCCTCAGGATCAAAAAAACAACACTACTACAATACCGATTGTTGTGGTCGTGACCTAAATATGAATAGTAATCTCTTAATACATAATAATTAAGCAATACGGAACAACATTAATATTTTTATAATTCATGGTATTATGGTCGAATATGTGGATAGAAAATACACAAAACGTTGTAATATTAAATGTATATTTAATATAACTATAATAAATAAACAGATGCTAGCGGAATGTCAATTTCAATAATTATACAATACAATACTACACAAAACACTATTGGTTG